AAAAAAAAAAAAAAAAAAAAGCCCAAACAGTACATGCACAACAGCCCTCCCCCTTCAAGAAACTCTCACAGACTATTTTGCCATAGAGGAAGATAAATGTGACAGTGTCTCCCCAACCAATCAGTGACCAGGCAGGCCTCAAACCAGGAAGCCCTTCAGAGTGTAGTATTTTAAATTGTGCAATTAAGACCTCTGGCTCTCAGCTAGTTTTTGTTCTCTGTGCTTGTAGGATACAAAAGCAGATGTGAAGTCCCTCATGGCAAAGTTTAACACAGGGGGCAACCCCACGGAAGAGGTCTCTGTCAGCAATCGCCCCTTCAAGGTCCCTGGGCAAAACTCGCCTTCAGGAGTACAAGCAAGAAAGAATCTCTTTGACAACCAAGGAAGTGCCAGCCCTCCTGCGGGACCTAGCAACGTACCTAAGTTTGGGTCCCCAAAGCCACCTTTGGCGGTGAAACCTACGTCTGAGGAAAAGCCTGACAAGGAGCCCAAGCCCCCGTTTCTAAAGCCGACGGGAGTGGGCCAAAGATTTGGACCGCCGGCAAACTCGGCCACCAGAGACCCTGAGGTGAAAGTGGGATTTCCGAAACCTCTAGGCCCTAAGCCCGTCACCGTGCCCAAGGAAGATGCCAAACCTGTGTTTCCCCGGCCCCCTGGGAATAAGCCTTCACCTCACAGTATAAACCAAGACCATGACCTAAAGCCACCCGGCCCCAAGCCAGGGTCTCATCCTCCAGCCCTGGAAGCTGAGCAGAAGCAAGCATTCCCCAAGCTGGCTGGGGTTAAAGGCAAGTTTGTGTCGGCCTCACAGGACCATGAGCCCAAGCCCCTCTTTCCCAAGCCCGTCTTTGGCCAGAAGCCATCCCTGAGTCCTGATGACACCCATGAAGACGAGAGCCCCACCAAGAACGCGTCTCTACAGAAAGGACCCCCGCCTCCCTTAGGAGCCAAAGTCAAAACTGGCCCTTTAAAACCAGCAAGAGAAGACCAGGAAACTAAAGACCACGGAGGCGAGATGTCCAGTTCACCCTTTTCTGGGGTGGTTCTGAAACCTGCTGCGAACAGAGGAAGCCCAGGCCTCTCCAGAAATGCTGAAGAGAAAAGAGAAGATAGGAAGATAGATGCTGCTAAGAACATCTTCCTGAACAAAATGAATCAGGAAGAGCCAGGCTCTGGGGCTCCTCCTGCCAAGTTCCCTAAGATGCCTTCTAAGTTGACAGCGACAGGGCCCTGGAGCCAAAGTCAAGACAAGGAAAAGGGAGACAAGAATGCAGCCACCCCCAAGCAGAAGCCCCTGCCTCCCTTGTTTACCTTGGGCCCACCGCCACCAAAACCCAGCAGACCCCCGCACGTTGACCTGACGAAATTCCGAAAAGCCGCTTCTGGAAACAGTGAGTTCTTTTCTCGTTCATGAGTTAACACGTTCTGTTCTACCACAGAGGGCTGTTTGAACTTCTGGGGGGAAAAATTATACCAAGGAATGAGTCCATCCCTGGTACTCCTGTGTATGTGGCCACTTTCCTTTGGCAATTTTTTTCCTTTGGTGTGGGAGGTCTGAAAGGTAAAAATCCTTAGTTCTGCGAGAAAGTGCCTCGGGGGCTGCCTTTGGGGGGGGAGGGAAATATATCCATTTGATTGATAAATGGTTTTGCTTTCATTTACATCCTTAGCCGGGTTTCATTTCTGTTGAATGAGGCTGAGGTGTGTTACCCTTACTACCACAAAAAGAGTTAGAAAGACGAGTAAACCTCTAAGTTGGGGATTCTCAAACTGGGTCAATTTTGATGCCCGGGGACATTTGGCAGCGTCTGGAGGCAGTTTTGACTGTCACGACCTGAGGATGCTGCCGGCATGTGGCAGGCAGAGGCCGACGAGGCTGCTGAAGGTCACAGCTGCAGAGAGCGACCCCTCGCAACAAAGTATCCAGCCCAAAATGTCAAGTGATTTTCAATGTCCAAAAAGTCATCACGTGTTTCCTAAGCCCAATATTCAAACAAGAGATGAGCAGAGCTCACGAGATGCCACTTTCTGTTTTATATGTTAGCTGTTTTCTATTTCTCGGTATAAAGCTTTCTGAACTTTGCTGATTCCTCAAGCAGCACAGAACTAGGACCATAAGCCAGACAAAGGGGCACATTAGTGTCCTTCGGGGAAAACAGTTTCATTTCCTACCAGAGATGTGGCAATCCTATGGCACATGCTAAAATTTGATGCTGAATGACTTGGTAAAGATTGGTAACCCCACACAGTGATGACAGGAGCTCATTTATGCCTGAAACGATTAATATTTTAGGCCAATAATGTGCAGTTATTGTTTATTCACGGGGAAGGTGGAGAAAGGATGCTTATACATAATGGAATAGGGACCACACCATTTTATTAGACATATTTTTTTTCTTATAAAACTATGGTCTAATTAAAGAAGTTCTAGGTATAAAGGTTGTTTTTCCTTTCCAGCTCTGCAAAAGCAGCTTGCAGTATATCATTTGCAATGCATCATCATGCAATAGATCAATATTCTTGCTGTTGATTAACAGATTAGTGATCCAACCTCCCATTAATCTATCATGTAGAAAGCACATTTGAAGTGATGCCACAATCATCCGTCTTCTAGAAAGATTCAGCCGTTACACTTGTGTCCTCCTCATCTGTCACCTTCTCATGTTAATACTGGTCCATAACTCAGAAATGTTATCTTTGTGAAAACTTCTAAAAGATCCCTTCCCTTAGTTCTTCTGTGCCTCGGATAAAAAATTAGCTATCATAACCTCCATCTTGTGGCTCTAACTTCAGACCAGGGAAATGCTCCATCTTTCCTTCCACTCAGCTCCCAGGTTTGGGTGGCGGTCACTAGTTGTCTGGTGTCATGCTGTTGAAATGCTAATGAAGTCCTCTGGCTCCATGGTTCTGGCAAGGTCAGTAGGGAGCTGACTTTCAGTGCGATCGAGTTCCAAGGGACCCAGGCAAAACCACCTAGTAGGCAGGGTGGATCCTTGCCCTCTTTCTCCCTTTTCCCCCCATCTTGACCTGCCTCCCCACTGCTCCAGTACCCCAGGACACAATTTAGACTCTAAATCCTCTCGTAATATACCCCACCTCTAACTCTGATCCTTGGGATATATTATGCTCCAAAAGGGACCCTGTTCCCTCTTCATCCTCTTTCACAAATCAAAACTCAATCCTTCTTAATTTGAACTGACCTCAGGTTAGCGTCAGGCTAAAGCAATCTGATTCCTAACTTTAAATTATGAATAACACCCCTTTAAAGCATTCACATTTTTATAAGCATTTAAATTTTTTTAACTTTTTAAAAAAGATTTTATTTATTTATTTATTTATTTGAGAGAAAGAGAGAGAGAGAGGGAGGGAGAGAGAGACATCCCGCTGACCGCGGAGCAAGGCTCGGTCTCACCACCCTGAGATCCTGACCTGAGCCAAAACCAAGAGTTAGACACTTAACCGACTGAGTCACCAGGTGCCCCCATAATTTTTTTTAAGTTATTTTTTAAATAGAAATTATACCTGGCTCAAAAAAAAAAAGAAAAAGCCAGCAAGTATAAAATGGCATACAGTCCTTATCTGCCATTTTCTGGGTCTTCCCAGCCTCTGCCCCACAAAAACCACTTTTCTTAATTTCTATGGTCATCCAGCTTCCTTAGGTTTATGTAAGCAAATATAAATATAGATACTAGGGGCTCCTGGGTGGCTCAGTCGTTAAGCATCTGCCTTCGGCTCAGGTCATGATCCCAGGGTCCTGGGATCGAGCCCCGCATCAAGCTCCCTGCTCCGCGGGAAGCCTGCTTCTCCCTCTCCCACTCACCCTGCTTGTGTTGTCTCTCTCTCTGTCAAATAAATAAATAAAATCTTTAAGAAAATAGAGAGAGAGATACTAATTCCCCCAGCTTTATACTCAAGAAGTAAAATATTATATGCAATGCTTTGATCCTTGTTTTTTTTTAAAAAAATTAAAATCTTGTATATCTTTTCATATTTTAATTAAAAGGTAACTGAATATTCCTTAAAGTTGCATAATATTCTGGTAAATGAATGACCCACCTAATTGATTGAACATTGTGCATTGTTTCCAAACTTTTTCTGTTTGAAACCGTGCTACAAAAAATAACCTTGCATATGTGTCATATGTGTTATTTTCTGAACACTGAGAATTTCTTAAAGGGCAGGTCTGCTGACTCCTGATCCCACCACTGCTACTTTTACCAAACCATACTAAGTAATTTAGCATTCCACTTAGGAAGATTAAGAATATACCAGATTTAGAAAATATAGGGTGTTCAAATTAACCAATGCTTCATCTAATAACTCTGCAGGTTTTCAAAACTCTTAACACTATTTTCTTAGCCTTCTACCTGATTGCTTCCTTTCCAGGTTCACATCCAATTCCTTAAACCTCTTCCCCATACCTACCCTCCATCTTTTTTCATCTTTGTCCAATATATTGGCCATTAAAATATTTATTATTTATTGAGGACTTGTTGCATACCAGATACACATTACCCTGTTCACTCCTCCCAAGAACCCAATGAAATAAGAATTCTCTGAAGAAACTAAAGCTCAGAGAGGTTGGGTAACTTGCCCAAGGCTATAACATGACTAAGCAGGGGTGGGACTGATCCTTAGGTCTCTCTGATTCCAGGGCCTATGTCCCCCTCACCATCCTCCCTCCTAGGCTTCCTCTCATGAAACATAGGATATCATGAGATAATAAATCAAGCATAAGGGAAACTCAAAGAATCCTCATCCTTCTCTGTGTGTGTGTGTTCTTTGGTTGAAACATCTGTTTTTTGTTTGTTCGTTTGTTTTTTACTACAAATACCACTATAAGCTACATGGAGACAGACACCAGTCTGCTTAACATTATTTATTTGGAGCATAGAAATAATATATTCTTGTTAGTTGCTCAGGTTTGTCATCCCCCCAAAGTCTATTTAATCAGAATTCAGTATTAATATTCTCTAGAGCCTAGCAGTTACTTTAACAAATTAGATAACCCCTGTCAATAGACTTGCACTCAACTGAATAGAGCTTCCATGCGAAATGAATATTCCACAGTGTCTGTATTGTAGATCTAGCCAGCTTACTTACTGGTAAACCATAAGCTTGAGTATATCATATTGTTTTTCTGCACATGAAGCTGATAACTTTTTTTTCTCCCAGAACCACTTGGGGCTACAAAAGCCTAAACTTTCAAAAAAAAAATTCCAAAATATCAAAATGTTCTCTGAACTAACATTTTCTCTGGTTCCTTTTGATTCCTGGGCCAGTGGTGAGAGGAATTCATCCTAAGCATCAGTGTGTGCCCAACCAGCAAAGTTTCAGTTGTTAAGATCCCTTGGCTTGACTGTTGGTTTGCATGTGGAGTTAGTAATAAATCTGCTTGGAAATATTCCATCCAACCCTTTTTCTGGTCTTGTTCTTAATCCTGGAGAGAAACTAAGACTCGCCTTTCCATAGGTTAGCTTTAAGAATGATCAGTTAGGGGCGCCTGGGTGGCTCAGTCATTAAGCGTCTGCCTTCGGCTCGGGTCGTGATCCCAGGGTCCTGGGATCGAGCCCCGCATCGGGCTCCCTGCTCGG